CTGCAATCTCCCGGGTAAATGAGGTGGGGATGGTCTGATCCCAACAAAAGACGGGTGCTCTGCTCTGCTGAGCTTTCTCCACTCTCACGTGAGCAATTTCATGGACAACCAGGGGTAAATGGCTCACTCATCCTCATTCACCCTCGTTATGTGAGGGTTACGACCTGCCTCTCGCACCAGCTGTAGACAATAATTAACCAGAGTAAGTAGAGAGATCTTCGCAGGAGAAGTACAGATGTGGCAGACATTATTTGTCCTCTAATATAGTCCCATAAATGTATTTTACTACCTTTTTATGTTTTACATGGCCCAGGTAGTCCGGAGGTGAGTCTGGAGGACAGTCCGCAACCGCCTCCAGCCCTTTAGAACCTGGGTTTGAACCTTTTTTTCTGCTTAGAACCTGGGTTTGAACCTGGGTTATTTAATATCAGGGCTCTACTGTGCGTGTCAGGCACCGGAGCGCTCAGCTTTACATACCCATTCCCAAGGACCGGTCGTTCTGCTGCATTCGCTACGTCCACACCTAATATAACATCTGCACTTGGCTCCCGCCGCAGCTGCTGAAAAGAGGGTGGAGTGAACTTTACTTCAACATGTCTGGTAAAAGTTCCCCGCAGACAATGTCTAACGAGGCTCGCATTTTCCAAAGTAAACTTACAGCAGCCCCTACGAATGCAGGATCCCTCCTGCTCCCACCCACTCCCCTTCGCAGAAGGGGGCTGCCACCACCCCCCGTGCCAGCAGCTCTGCGGGATGCTCCACGCTGGACCTTCCCAGCAGAAAAGCTGGACCACGCCACATTTGACAGGATTCTGCCTCGCTCAACCCCAAGGAGTTGTCCTTGGCGCTGAGAAGCCCACCTCCTGGCAGCGTTTCAGCCCGAACATGCTCATAAATGCCCTCTGGGCTGAGGGCAGGTTGTAAGGTTTCCTGGATGCGGCTGTGAGACAGAGGCTGGGAGGGATGGAGCACATGGTATTTAGATCAGGGTGCACTCCAGGGCTGCCAGCAGGTTACCGGAAAGGATAAAGATTAACTTCTTCCCTCCATATGAAGGAAAATTGACCGTGTGCTTGCTATGTGGAAACGGTGCCAGAGAGTATTGCTCGTGCTTCCTTTCCCAACACAGCAAGGAGTCAAAAGCAGAAAAAAAAACCAAAACCTTCACCCAGATGATGTGGGAAACTCATAAGAAGGGCCTCTGAATTACCTGGAATATCAACACACAATTTAGTCTGTGTCATAGCAGATGGATTTGTGCTTGATCATTGTATTGTCACACCTTTTCTTGGACGACTATTTATTATACGTATTTCTTTGCTTCTCTGTCCTCTTAATTGTGGCACAAAAGCTCTTCTAGTGTCTTTGTAAAGCTTCCTCTTTGAGTTGACTTTGCTTAATAACTGTAGGACACATGAGGAACAAGCACAGGGAGGACAGCAGCAGAACATGCCCTTCCAGGCAGGCCTCAAGGGTTCAGACATCAGCTGTGCCCAGGTGAAACACAAGGCACCACCTTCAGACTGCCTACAGACACATCGTTGTGCAGTATGACTGCTTTTGCCCACCACCTTGAAAGGGACTGATAACCCCATACATCAGGTGCTTTGAACCCCTTCATGGCTCTCAGGAGTGCAGAAGCCACAGCCATGGTGGCTACCCCACCACCAATGGTCATCTACCCAGCTTCAAGCAGCCACAAGCTTCAAGTTTGCCTTCCACGTTCCCTCAGTACTCATGGACAAAGAGAAGGGTATCGCCTGGGAGCAAGTCATCTTATCCCAGGGGAGGGAAGCTGAAGAAACCCAAGCTTCCCTTGCTGCCAAGGGGCCTGGGTAACTGTCTTCGGCTGAACACTTCAACCCACATATTTTAATCAAGCCCAGAGAGTTTTCCACTCACGTCCTTCACGTGCAGCAGCTTCCCACCATTTGGAACGCTACGTTAGGCTGGTTGGTTGTGCTCAACATTCCTGGGCTCATCACAGGAGGCAAATCCAACTTAACCAAGGAGGACTCCAACATGGGGTGGCTGAGCAGCTCCAGCACTCCAGGAGACACCATGTTCTCTTCCTTCCCAAGCTCCAGCCATACCTCACCTCTCTGACCGGCGCCTCTGGACACAATCTGGCCGTTTTTTCCCCACAGGTTTGGCAAAAGGGTGATGAGGTGACTTAATAGGGTAGGGCTCTTCCATTGCCAGTTTTTGTCATTTATGACACAGGTTTTCCCTTTTTCACTTCAAATCATTAGTAACAGCCAAGCACCGAGGAAGCATTAGCAAAGCTGTGCCGTGGTTGGTTCTTGTTCTTTCTCAACTTGACAATGAGAATAGTGTTTAATTCAAGTGGTTCTGGGCAGTGATTTTAATCTATCTCTGGAATCAGCTGACCATACTGGGCTTGTGAATTAGTCCTGTAAACGCATTTTACTGCCTTTTTATGTTTTACATGGCCCAAGTAGTCCGGAGGTGAGTCTGGAGGACAGTCTGCAGCCACCTCCAGCCTTTTCTGCTTAGAACTCTGGCTTCTGGTTAACATTAAAATACATTTTTAAAATTACCTTTAAACTACCTTGGAAGTGAAAGAGGATCTTATAACAGCCCAGAAAGAAAACTAGAAGCTAACAGGCTACATGAGAAAATTGGGGTAGATGCTTTGACTGAATCCAGGGCTAAACCTCAATTAATGTGAATCAGAACCATCCACTAAAAATGAGAGGCAGGACTTCCAAGTGATATTTAATTAAGCAGGAAAGGAAGGACAATGTGATCTTATTTAATTTACTTAGAACAGCACAGGTACTTCATGCTGGAGTGATGACTACTACATGATGAGTACTATAACAACAGTAGTCACATAAAAATAGGTAATTAAATATGTACCTTCATGCCTTTCAGAAAGTACTAGAGTAGATGTCTACCTCTGGACTTAAATTTTCCCATCAGATATTCCTCTCAGTCTCTCTGAAATAAACAACAGCTCTGTGTTGGGGAGAACCTTCACACACAGAGGACAATAGGGACAGTGGCTTCAGCTTTAATATTAAAATGGTTTAGTGTTACTTGTTTCCTGATTGTGACTATTCCAGCTAGGACCCACAGGTTTAAGTATTAGCAGAGGCATAAAGCTGAGCCTCAGAACAAAAGCTTTACAGGACCTGGGGTACATATAAGCATTGAAGAGAGACACTTGCACCAGGATGGGGCTGTAGCATTCATTAGTGATGCTGCCAGGGGAGCTCAGAAAGCTTCATAACATCCCAGCAAACAGACTGATTTACATTCAGAACCCCTATTTATATTAAATATTTTTGGAAGATGAAGCTTATTCTCTGTTTACTAAATGATAATGGACTGGGCAGGGAGCGAGCTACTTGCTGTGGTTGACCCTTCTCTGAGCATTGGACTAGATGATCTTCAGAGGCCCCTTCCAGCCTCACCTGTCCTGTTGGTGGTGTAAGTATGATGGCAAAATCTTCTTCAGTTAAATATATCTGCACAAGACAAGAGGACCATACACCCCCCAAAACAAAGCTATCCTCCCCTCCCAAGAAATAACCTGAAAATAGTATGCTAATCGTTTTTCTCCAGGGCATTAACAAACAACTCACCTTGGGTGATATTAAGGCTGCTATAGCCATTGGACAAGACCTGAGAATCCAGGCAAAAAAAGCTATTTCTGGTTATTGCTATCCCCTCTGACCAGTCAGATTAGCAGGCAATTCAAGATCAGGCAATGCCAGGCACCTTCTGCAATCCTGTTTGCCAAAAAGAACGAATTAAACAGGGTCAAGTGTCTCTGCTCAGTCCTCACCCCCTTTTCCAGTCAGTATTTAGGCCAAAAGTGCTCTCAAATTTCTCTTTTTCTTGCCAGCTCTCACATGCTCCCTCTCTCTTGTCCTCAGGCCAGGCTCACAGAGCTTCTCCCAGCCATGCCCTTGGTTTTTCACTAATTCACTGCTTATTTTCCCCCTGTGCTTTCCCCTTCTCTGTAATATAAATCTCCACCACACAACACCCATCAGAAACTCCTGATCCCACATGCCTTTCACTTGTGCATTGTTTAAAGGTGGTGGCTGCTTTTACTTCAAAAAAAAGAAACACCTATTTCTTACAAGGCTTCCCAGGTGCACACCATCAACAGGTCTCACTGGAGTTCCTACTTTTTTTGCCAATGCCACTGGTGAAAATGCTGAATGAGATTGGTCCCAAGGCTCACCCCTAAGGACCTCCAGAAGTAATCTTCCTTCAGCTTGGTTTTTTCCCATTTAGTAGCGTCAGTTTTAAAAATACACAGTGTTTCATTTTACTAATGCTAGCAGATTAATACTGATAGATTTTATGAATGAAATTGATTTTGGAATGTAATTATAATAGCAGGGAAATAATTTAATGGTCAGAGGGAGATGAAAATTCAGATGTTTGTCCAACATTACATGGAAAAGAAATGAGATGGAGGACGATAGATTGCCAAAAGGAAATTTAGGAAAAAGATTTGACGAGACCTCAGATTTTGTGAAGGGAATTAGAATAAAATTAAAGCAGAAAAATATTTAGGAGAAAAGTGGTACTAACCCCTGATGAAAGGATGAGTGCACTACTGAATAAAAGAGGGAATATAGGAGAATGTCCAGAAGATGGAAACCCTCCCTACCTGGTCCTCTTTTTCTATAGGATAACCAACTCCTGGTACATTTTCCTGAACTCAAATTGCTCAGAAGATGTTCAAATATACTACCTTCAGACTCCAAGCAGTCTGGACATGTTTTTATTGCCTTGTTTTCCTACCATTCTTACTTCACTGTTTCCACATATTTTTTTTTTCCCCACAAAGCAGATGGCAAGCCAGAAAAAAAAGCAGCTTTACCTTAAACATTTAGCAGCATCTGAATTCCCATGTGTAAAGGTTTTTTCTTTCCTCGAGTACCTCCAGGCTGCTAGATCAAACTGCAGAAGTTGTTAAAGCCAGCTAGACTATACTAAACATTTCCAGAGAACCATTTTTATACACACAACCATTTATATTTTACAGGTACAAAGCAAGGAAGAACAGCACATCTAATACACATGTATATATACACACGAGCGTCTACGTTGGGAATAATAGTAGGACCCTACTTAAAATAGAGATACAGATTGCCAAAACATTATCTCAAAATCAAAATAATATTTTCACCCCAAAGACAATATTTTATACAGAACTCCCTCAAGAAAAGAGAGGGGGTTTTTTTGCTTTACAACAATTTTTCTCTCTCATGAAAAAAATATTGTAAATATTTTTGAATTAAAAGATTTGCTGGATAAACCCAGACCTCAAGTGATGGATTTTTATGCATAAAAACATACATTCTGTTTATTAGTCACATTAAAAGTATAAAATTTTACATGAGTCTAAATCTTTAATGCAAAATAGCATGTTTTTCCTCCTATAAAACAACTACATGTTTTATCTTCCCCAAAAGTACAGTTTAAAGTGAAGAAAAAATTTATCTGGGAAATCATTTGCAGTGTAATATCAAAGAGAAGTACTAATTAAGGATGGCCTTTGAAATTTGATCTGCGTTTCCTAACTTAGGTTAATTTCCTGTCTTGAAAAACCATTTGTGGGCATGTTTCTCTATTTCGTCTTCTGTCACTACTAAAATATTTTGGACAGGGGGGAAGCAATTGACTGACATCTCATGTCAGGCTATTTAATGTAACAGTTTTATAGGCATGCCCGGAAATATGGTCTTCCAAAAGGTGAGCTAGAAAACCGTGCTCACTAAGTTTAGTAACTTCATTTAATAGAAGGATGAACGGAGGCTTAAGTCCAGAACTGTTCAGTGTTTTTATTAATGGTCTGTATGTTAGCAAAGGGAGAGTGACCCTACCACATTCACCCATAATACCAAATTGAGGAAGAATGAGCACTCAAAATCATCTTTACAAACTAGGGAAATCAGCTATGAAAATAGGATGCAAGTCAACACAGTTAAATGCCAGTTACTAAAACCGCATGGGAACAGTCAGCTGCACAAATGCAGAATGGGAAAACAAGTGACTCCCCAGTAACTCCGCAAGGAAGAACCTAAGGATTATGGTGGACCACAGCATGAACATTATGTTTGATTTATGAATAGGAGCATTGTCTATTGACTCACAAGGGAACACTTCTGCTCTGTAAGCTTTGGAAAGCCCCTCACAGCAGGAGCTCCATCACCATGGAGGGCTAGCGAAAATCCCAGCATTTCTTGGAGACTTAACCAAGCAGCAGAGTACCCTATTAATTTAGTAGATTAAAAAAAAATAAAATGTCATGAGGTGCTATTGCTGAGTTTCCTTCCCAAACATCACAGGTTAGTTTGGAAAAGATTTTTCTTGGCTTGCCCAATGAAGGCGATTGGGTCTATTTCAATGCATTGGGACGAATGAGTTTGAGGGTAAAGTGGATGTCCCCACTTCCTGAGGTCAAACACGCATCACAAAGATGTTTTGCTGACATTCTTTAGCTTTTGCAATACTACCTCTGCTCTCACAAATAATTTGTGCTCACTTGGGTGGGTCTTTTCCTCTTCAAAGTCAACCGGAACCTTATTGGCAGAAAAGCAATAGATTCTCACAGAAATCTTCAGAAAGGAGCATTTCACTAACACTTGTCACAGGGCTGTGGAGACCGATGTATTGTAGGTAGGCTCTGAGGGGAGAGGAGGTGTCCCCATGCCTATACACAGTCCCAGGTGACTGGGGATTGGCCACCCTAACTAAATGACATGCATGTGCCCACACAATCCAAGGTATGTACCTGCCATCACATCATTTTCTGCTCAACTCCTGGCTTAATTCTATATAAACCTCGAGAAAAGATAAAAGAATAAACATTCTGACAGATTTTATTACATCTACCAACTATGTGTAACACCTCCTATTGATGCAACAACATTTTACTGTTAGAAACCAACAGTTCCTTAAATGCGGAGTTTTGCAGGATGTTCACCTCCATTTACCTTCACTTCCTGCTGCAGGCACAACTGAACCAAGCTCTTCTATTTCAGGTCAAGTCATGGAACATTTTCACATTTAAGCTGAAACTCTACACAAGCTTTTGCTGAAAGCATTGTCAGATCAGCACTGGAAGATTTAAAATCAGGCAACGTCTATGAATGGATGCATGAATAGGTCTGTTGTGGTCCTCTCATTTCTCAAGCACACAGCCTTTGTAGCAAGCAAAATATTTTGGCCATTCATGTTTTTACTGTGTGATTTATAACATTGTCCCAAAGCCCTTTGTGAATTCAAAATGCCGTGGCCATGTTTTTCAGAAAGGAATGCTCAAATACAATATTCCTGGATCCTCACTTAAATTCTTAGATGAGGCCCTGATCCTGCAAATATCGACATGGATGCCTTTAGTTAAATATAGGATTGAATTTTGGCAGAACCAGGGCCTAAATAATCTAACCAAGTAGCTTCCAAGGACCGTTCCAAGCCATAGCACACAGGAGCAGGTCAATGTTGCACAGTCCTGCTGACTTCAACGGGATTACTCCCACATTTCAAACTCGTGCTGGATCACATCCCTTCTGGGGCAGAAGAACTGGCTCCCTCTGCCTTAAACAAGAATTGATTCAGGCTCCTAGAATTGCAAAGCAGAAACCTGACACGCACGCCGAGTTCTGTAGACTCTTGACCGCTGAAGGTAAATACACACTGCTAACACTTTTTGTAATAAAGCCTTAAATCTGCATGAATCCATCAGCGTTGGGTAGGAAGAGGTTGGATTAACACATTTTGCTCACTAGCACCTTTACTCACAGAGTGCCTAAGCAAATAAAAAACAAAATTGATGTATTTTTAGAGTGCGTTTTATTTTTTTAGAAATCACCCTAAGAAAAACAATGAAGTATCAAAAATGGCAATTTTAAAGGCTATGGGTTTGTATGGAAGGTTAAAATGGATTCAACATTGACTTTATAAGCACTTTACTCCCAAAAGCAAGAATACACCTTACAGTGCATAATGCCGCAGAGAACCTTCAAGCAAAAAGCCAAAGGACATTTCTTTGGATGCTTCATGACAGAAGACCTGATTCTAAACTCACCATTTTTGAAGATATATCTCAATCAAAGTTGAAGGTGATTTAGCTAGACTGCATCTAGGCTGAGCTTCTCAGGAAAGCAGCAGTATATAAGGTAAGTACAGCCGTAGCCTTAAGTCTTCTTTATGCCTGATTTACTCTCTGGGGACATCTGGAAACCAGTTGATGCTGGTTACAATCAGCAGTCAGACACTCTTAGGATGTAAAAATGCTATGATGGTGGCCTCCTTCCCCATATACACATGCTAAAAGATCTACAGAGAGGCTAAAGTGATGTCAAGGCCATCACAAATCAAGCATAGCAGGCCAAGGGTCTACAACCGCGTAGCGAAGAATGGGGACACGTGCAGTACAAGAGGATTTGAGCTGTATGTCATCGAATACCACCTCAGAGCAAAGATTTCGGCTCAGTGTCTATAACAAAGGCTTTTAGTTTTACAGCTCAACGGTGTCAGGAGTGCCAGTCTCTTAGTTTCTCAGCTAACACGTAGCTAGATGTCATCAAAGAGGTCCTCTGGCTCACAAGTGTTTTCCAGTGTTTCGAGAGACATCTCATCCGGGGAATTCTTGCCTGATGTCTTCTGTGAGGCCAGATCAGGTCTGGAAATAAAAAGCGAAGAGATTTGAAACAAATTTAGATACAGATATAAACAATTCCAATGTATACACCGCCAAGGTAACCATTTAATAGTGTATTTTGAGCTTTTTGTTAAGGTTACACATAAGAAAAAAGCGCTTTTTGTAAGACCTAATTACTTGCTGAGATGGCAATGGCAAAACAAAACAGATGGAATTCAGCTTATAAATGTCAAGGATTCAGCTATTTTATTACAACTTTTAGGACCCTGAGAATGACCATTTCACCCACAATTTCCACATGGAGAGCTAGGGATGCAGAACAAATGCAGAAAACGTACAAAGGATCTGCTTTTCTACTGCTGCCCAGGACGATGGTCTGTGAACCACTCTTTATTTTTGCCCTGGTGCTGAGCATGTGTCCGTTGTCCATCAGTCTGGCATGGAGGCATATGAAGAATCGCACCGAGCTGTCTCAGAGATCCATGCCCCGGAGGTGCAAGCCTCTCTCCAAACAGTAGAGCGGAAGAAAACAAAGCAAAATGCAGGAAGTCCTTGCAGAATACATAAATCCAGATATTCAGGGACTTGCAATTCCTTGACCTTCCCCTGTATATATGTTAAGTCTACATTTGCTATAATTGTGTGCAAATAGAAGGGTTGGTCCTCAGACAGTTGGACACCACAGAGTCCTACTTCATAGAATCATAGAATCATAGAATCATAGAATCATAGAATCATAGAATCATAGAATCATAGAATCATAGAATCATAGAATCATAGAATCATAGAATCATAGAATCATAGAATCATAGAATCATAGAATCATAGAATCATAGAATCATAGAATCATAGAATCATAGAATCATAGAATCATAGAATCATAGAATCATAGAATCATAGAATCATAGAATCATAGAATCATAGAATCATAGAATCATAGAATCATAGAATCATAGAATCATAGAATCATAGAATCATAGAATCATAGAATCATAGAATCATAGAATCATAGAATCATAGAATCATAGAATCATAGAATCATAGAATCATAGAATCATAGAATCATAGAATCATAGAATCATAGAATCATAGAATCATAGAATCATAGAATCATAGAATCATAGAATCATAGAATCATAGAATCATTGAGGTTGGAAGAGACCCTTGGGATCATCGAGTCCAATCATCTACCCTACTCTACAAAGTCCTCCCCTACACCATGTCCTTCAGCACTGCATCTAAACATCCCTTAAACACATCCAGGGATGGTGACTCCCCCCCCTCCCTGGGCAGCCTGTTCCAATGCACGACCCCTCTCTCTGTGAAGAATTCCTTCCTAATGTTCAGTCTAAACCTCCCCTGTTGGAGCTTGAAGCCATTCCCTCTCGTTCTATTGTTAATTACCTGTGATAACAGCCCAGCACCAACCTCTCTACAGGGTCCTTTCAAGTAGTTGTAGAGAGTGATGAGGGCTCCCCTCAGCCTCCTCTTCCTCATACTAACAGCCCCAGCTCCTTCAGCCGCTCTTCATATGATTTGTCTTCTAGGCTTTTCACTAGTTTCGTTGCCCTCCTCTGCACTCGCTCCAGCACCTTGAGATCTCTCTTGTATTGAGGTGCCCAAAACTGGACACAATACTCGAGGGGTGGCCTCACCAGTGCCGAGGACAGGGGCACAATCACCTCCCTAATCACCTCCTACTTGAACACTTCACACCTGAATCAGACACCCATTACACTGAATAGCATGCTAATCTGCATCAATCAGTCTTATTTACCACTCCTTTGACTGTCCTCATCAACACAGATCATTTAAATATCTCTTGCATATGCCGAGAGCCCATGTTCATTGTTTCTCCTCCCCTTTCCAAGACACCACTGTGGTAAAGACAGCTCTGTGCTTATGTATCTTGGTTTTCCAAAGACAGTGGCATCTGCAGCAGCTTCCTATCCTTATAGGAATTAAGTTTACATTTATAGGGCTGAATCCACGAAAAATCTTTGAGTCCTGCACAGACAAATTTACTTTTGTGAGCTTCAGGAGGAGAATTATCAATCACAGACTTGGTAGTTCTTGGTGACATGATATTCCAGGTCCATATCACCAGCTGCTGTGAAAACTCCTAATCTTGGTGTGGTACACTGTAGGGAATGGGTGCAAGAAGCTGGGAGAAGACTTGATGTGCTTGTAATGTACGATTCGGGACTGGCTGGAGTTTCATAAGGGTTGATGGCTTCATGCCCAGGCATATTCCACTGCTGTAATCCTGACAGAAGGTGAAAAATTCATGTATTATGAAGGTCAACACATCAGCCACCAGGATGTGAAGAACTAGAGAGAAGTGATGGAAAGTGTTACTCTCAAATGCTGCCGTACGAGGGCTCAGTGCAATGAGGCATGCAAAAGCAATCTTAATTTTCAGAATAATTCAAGCATTTGCCTTCAACTGCTCCGCGTTGAAGAGCTAATATAGCTAGTGAAATTCAGCAATATTTTTTTTTCTTTTAAAATTTGGTTTCAAACAGATTCAGAACCAAGTTTTCCAAAACTCCTACCTAGAGATGTCCAGAGAGCAGAATTTTCTATAGACCAGTGCAATCTTCGAAACAAAATGAGCTTCCTAAGACCCCAGCCACAGCGTGATTCACAGCCTCTCACACTTCAAGTTTGTCAAGCCCTTGGAGGTTCAGAACTCTCACTATGATGTCTCCTGCTGTGGACCTGGGGACTGGTTTTCATTTCGAGGTGCAGCCCCCCATGCTCCTAGGGAATTAGCAAAAGCCCAGTAAATGCTGAGTCTTGGGTGCCATCACTTCCTAAGAGCTCTCTGGTATTCAGAAGGCTTTCTTCACCACTCTATCCATCACTCCAGTTCTGCTAACCACTTTTAAATTCAACTTGCTGGTATATTCAGATTATGATAATTACTTTCTCTGGATGTCTAACTAGCATTCTCTGTGAATTCTTCCAAAACACTTTCCTTCAGGCCTGAATAACTTGTGTCCAAGCATTTTTTTCCCTTTTGGTATGCAGCGACATCTAGACAGACTCGTGTTTCATCAAAGTCACTTGGACTGTGAGAAGACCTGCCAGGATCGGACCCTTAGAAAATGAGGTCAGCAGGATAAGATACTCAATGCTGTTCTGGTCACTAGCAATCAACTTATTTGCACCCTGATATTTTTTTAAAATATAAGTAGCATAGCCCAACACAGTGTGGTGCTCGAGTTTACCTTTGAAGGTGTGTTTTTCTTTTAAATTTCTAGGTCTGTCTAAAGCATTAAGTCTCCAGTGAGAACATACATAAATCACACAGTGTGGGGCCCCACACTGATCATTTCAAATAATTCTGAAAGATTTCATCAGCAAATACATCAGGCTGTGAAGACCTCTGTACCACCACAGGCTATGTCAGGTACTGAAAAAGGTTCAGGTTCTAAAAAAAGGGAAGTTTTTTTTAAAGCATATCCTCATATCCATATAGGCATACAAGACTAGGCAAAAGACAAAAAGACTTCTGGGACCTCACATTTGTTGACTGAGGTTTCACCTATTCCAGCATTTTCTGATTTTGAAAAGGAAGCCTGACAGTGCTTAAGCAATGTCAACAACGGTTTTATCCTCATTGGCTAAAATAACTGTTTTCCACACTGTACATGAGATCACATCTATAAGCCAAATCGCTGCTGAATTTTAACATTACACAGCTAGAACTATTAAGCTTCTGTGTTCTTGTAACAACATGGTCCTCATTTAATCTTCAAAAGCTGTAGCACCGCGCCTGTGAATAAACCCAACTACATTTGCAAAGTGGAAGCATTAGGCTCTTGACATGGAGTTCATAAGCAACTTAATTTTGGTTTTAAGACTTGATGATTCCTATTTGTAAGGCAATTATTCACTGAATGCCAACAGCTTGCTTTGTGCTGTGAAATTATTTTGAATCTTGAATTCTCACTGAAGCTGTATTACTGTATCCCGATGCATAACTGAGTTAATTTCTTTAAATTGCAGTGAGTTGTATAGCCCTTTCTTGCCAAAAAGCCTGTAAGTAAGGCATTCTTCTTGAAAGTTTATTCTTCTGTTGGATCACTTTTTGAAGTCAAACCTTTTGGTAAACTTAAACTCCATTAACACATGTGGAGAACTGCTGACTATAAGAGATCATTTCATATTTCCTGACATTTAGTTCAAGCCCTTCATAAATTGAGACAGAAGACCAGATCCACAGCTGGTGTGAATCACTGGAACACTAATAATGTCAGTGGAGCTCTGCTGACTTACACCAGCTGAGAGTCTGGCCCAAGACTTGGAAGAAAGTGGTTACATTACTTGGTATTTCTTTCCACAGCTGAGTAAGAGCCATAAGAAACAGAAGACATGCAACACTTTGGTACTTAACTAAAGACCACAGAAACTCAAAGCCACGCAGGGTGATGGCTTGGGAGAAAACGCCACACCTTCTTTTGCAGTAGGACAGATGGACCATCCCATTTGCTTCATGTGATGAATCATTCCTGAGTCCACCAGGACACCAGAGAAGACCTGCACAACACTGTTCCTGCTGCAACAGATGGCCAGTTCCACGAGATAATGTTTGTGAAGCGGTACGAAGCAGAAAATAATCCCCTAGGTGACTGATGATTAAAAAGAGCTTCCCAGTGGCAAAACGATCGAACAAGCTGTAGCTCTGCAGAAGGAAAATCAGGTTGGAGGCTGCAATCAGCTCTTCTTGCTGGAATGATGAACAGTTCTCACACTTAGCTATCCCCGTGTAGCCAGCCCAGCACGTTGTGCTTATGATTTTACTCAAGCTTTTGTTCTCAACCAGCTCTCATGGGATTTGAAGACAGAAATACCCTTGTAAATTAACATAACTATAAAAGTTTCCTAAGAAACTTAAGTAATCTGGGAACCACACTTGTGTCCTTGGACCAGTCCATTATTTTCCTCATTTCCTAGTAATTAAAATAATCAGTTCCAATCAAAAGCTGGCATTTTACTGACAGAGGACATTTCAG